GTGCGGCACCGAGTGCGGCACCGAGTGCGGCACCGAGTGCGGCGCGGGACAAGATTTGTTGGGTGAATGCGGGTGCGGGTGGTAAGGTTCTCATGTATGTGCGGGTTGCGGGAGAATAGAATTAATAGCGGGACTCCCGCAAAATGTAATTATCTTAAAATTAATTTATTAAAAACAAATACTCTATTATTTATCTACTGCACAAAAGCAACAAGAACGACTAAATTAAAATAATAACAATTTACAGGCGAATCGTCTACAAAAACTACAACTTTCTTTTTTATATACACTCAAAAGGGAAGCAAGTGAAACAAATAACAGAGTAGCGGGAAGAAGCGGTAAAAATAAAACTACTTATATGTTTACCTGCGGGATTTTGCGGGTGGGAGCAGGACAAAACTTGAATACTGCGAGCGGGAGCGGGAGAAAATAATATATATTTTTTGCGGGAGCGGGCGGGAGCAGGACAGAATCTTGCGGGAGCGGGCAGGAGCGGGACTGAAAAATCCGTCCCGCGCAGGTCTCTACCTCAGGGCTAAGTAGTGGGAGGCAGGCCAGCGTCGTCCATGAGGCACATGGATAGACTACAGGGCCTTTTCCTCCAGCGAATCCCCCGCATACACTGTCAGCACAATCTGAACACTTCCCAGCCTGACCTCCCCAAGTACCTGGGGGCATTTCAGTGGCGGTGTGACCAAGCTGATATAGGGGTACTCCTCACGGGGGGTATACCGGGACAAGGGGCGGCAGGTGGAGTTTAACTGGCTCCCACTGCCCCCCAGAACACGCCCTCCCCAATCTATCCATCTCAGTTGTGCCACCAACAGGCTACACTCTGGCTACCCCTTGGCAGTTTTTTCAGTGGGGCAACCATAGGAGGCCCAGAATTTTAACATTCTGCCTGTGTTCCTCACCATGGCGTCTGACGTGTCCCTTATTACTGCTGCACTGACTGTTGTGGGATGTTGCCTCTGGACCATTCCATACAAGCTCACGTCCCCTTCACTTCTGATGCCAGACAGTTTGCCCTGGCTTGGGCCTGCCTTCATGCACTCGTTTGTAGGCTCATTTAGGCTGTGGTGCTGATAGATCCACTCTGGGACATTGTCTGCTAAGCTCGGCCCACAGTGGCTGCTAGCTGTCAGGTTTTTCCTTTTACCATTTTCATTATGCTGGAAAGTGTCTTGGTGTCTCCCTAAAGGAAGGCATTGCCACCACATGAGCGAACAGTGCCCCCTTCTGGCAGCCCTATGAACAGGGCACAGGACAGGAGCTTGGGGTTACAGGGATCACTGGTGGGGGAGGGGTTGGCACCCAACTCCAGACCAAGTCTCCCCTCCCTAACAGCCTGCCCCCCTTCCCAGCCAAGGTAACAAACCTGGTGAAAGCTGCCTCCCAAACCAGCAGGGGCCCCAGACCACGTTCAGATGGGGACTCGAGGGAAACAGCTTTGAGTGGCGCTTCAGATATTCCAGGCGCAAAGAAACCAATCTGATCATGATGACGAAATACAGCTGAGGTTTACAGGCCCAAGCCCAGAATGCACAGCATACAGAGCATGAACGCTGGTTTGGTGACTGTTAAAACATACAGTGACCCCCGCTGATGAGATCGTTGTTCTGCCCTCCACTGTGCCATGTGCTGTCGGTAGGTTACTCACTACGGTTAACTGTGAGCACCACACAAGCCCTGTGGTTTGGAGATGCTCTGACCCAGTCATCCAGCTGTAATGATTTGGCCCATATCAGAGTCACTTTACCCTTTTATACCTGCCCATTCCTTATGGATTCAAAATGTCAGCTATGAGTGCCAAATGTTAGCTTATCATCTCATATATCCCTGACATTATCATGCGCTTGGACTGTTTGATTTCTATGCCATCGTATATTGCATCCTCTCATCATGACCTCCAGTTTTTGCTGTAATATTAAAAGTAAAACCAGTTCATGGTCACTAATTGTCGATTAGTGGAACATGAAAATATTAATTTTATCAGCGAACACTTTTATTTTTGCAGAGATCACATGACAGTCACAAGACTGAAGCGTCATCATCCACTGATCCCAAAGAACTGAAGGCAGAGGAGGTAAAACAAAGGACTTTGTGATTCTCAGGGATAATGTAATGGAGGCTCCCTGGGTCATTAGCTGCAGATTTAGCTGCGGTGTGATTTGGAAATAGGAAGTTGGCTTCTTACCAACAGTCTCCATGCAAAAGCATTGTGAATATTTTAAAAGTTTGAATTCCTAAATAGCTGCTGTAGATATTGGGTTGTAGGTTGCTGGTAATTCCAACATTTCAATAATGTTTCATTAATAAACTAATATTATGTAAACTTCATGGTCACAGCGCTGTGTTTAATGAAACCCGGTAATATGGACTATTTAAGTTAATATTGTCACTTCTGTAGGGATCACATGACAGTGAGGAGACTGAAGCATTGTCCCCCCCTAATCCCAATGGACCAAACACAGAGGAGGTAAACAGAGGAACAAGATCTCTGTGATTCTCAGGGTTCCTGTTATTTACTGCACTTTGGATCCAAGGACACTGTTACCTGTCAGTTTTTACAGTGTATTTCAAAAGAATAAGGAAGTTAGCTTCTTAATGAAAGTCTATGTGCAGTTTGAGAGTTTGAGAGTCATTTGAGAGTTTGAGTATTTCATTCATACTATAATTTTTGGGTTGTTAACCTTTTTAAATATTTGGTCACATTAAAATAAATCATGTAACCAGGTAGGTATAGTAAATACAATTGCATCGTGGCTACATTATTCGTTTGATGAAAAAAGAATATAAAATGTAACAATTGACACACTTTTGCAGGGATCATGTGACAATCAAGAGATGGAGGCATCGTCACCTGCTGATCACAGTGAACCAAACACAGAGGAAGTATTACTGGGAGAGAAGAACACAGAAGTATGAAGGATCAATAGCGCTTAATTTTAGATTTTTGCCTGCAGTCCCAAGTTTACCAGGTCCTGATGAATCAACAAGTTATTCTTGTTAGCAGGCATCAGATTATTGATGCTAATTTACAGTTAACTATCTGAAGAGTTAAGGGACTTTGCTGGGTAGCAAATAAGCTTTTCTAGGACCAGCTGCACATGCATATAAGCAGATGTTCATCTACAGAGCAGCACCCTGAGAAGGACCATTATGTTGTATCTATAGTCAGTCACCTGAGGATAAAGTCAGCTGTGAAGATCAATAGAGGGTCCTTCATGTCATCCTGTTGCTTCCAAACTGAACTCTGCATATTATGCTTTTGTTACATGGAACTTTTCACGATCCTACAGTATTTCTCGGAATATCTGCTTAGTGTAAAAGCTTATTTATTTCATTTGAAGAGACACTGCTTAGCAAAACAATGTATTTTTTGAAAGTTAGTCACAAGTGGAAATTAGCGGGAGAACATTTTAAAACAAATTTGAGGAAGCACTTCTTTACACAGCGTGTAGTCAGAGTATGGAATAGTCTTCCTGCTATTGTAGTGGAAGCTAAAACCATGGGTTCCTTTAAATCAGAGCTAGATAAGATTTTAACAACTCTGAGATATTAGCTAAGTTCTCCCCAAACGAGCTTGATGGGCCGAATGGCCTCCTCTCGTTTGTAAATTTCTTATGTTCTTATGTTCTTAAGCAAAGTGGTTTCATGACAATATTTCAGAAACCTTCCTGTGTAAATATTTGTACATTGTTTGATGATTATCTGACTTACCTTTATTTGTTGTTTTCACTGTTGAAATGTATAGTTTACTAACAATGAGGGCAGTGTGTGGCTAAGTGAGCAAAGCTTCTATGTTTGTGATCAAATAGTCACCAGTTTGAGCCCAGCCTCAGCACATCTACAGGTCCTTGAGCAAGGCCCTTAACTCCCAGCTGCTATGGGTGGCTGCCAGCTCACTCTCACTTACATAGAGCAAGATGGGGGAGGTGTAAGGAGAACAGGGATCAAGAAAGTATATATTATTACTCTGCCCATATGAAAAAAAACTGTATGATTCATATACAGCAACCATATATTTTTCTTACTTAATTCAGCCAGAATTGCCTTCTGTGTTTCATACAAGTCCAATATATGTCCTATATAAAATCAGACCGGTTATGGCCACTTTCATATTAAAAAGCACACATTAATCATGTAATGGAATTTTTGGGTCATATATGAAAACTGCATAAAATA